TCCGATCCCACGCAATGCTGAAAGGCACGCGCGGCATCGAGGGGAAGACTGGCAATCTGGAGGAAGAGAAGGCCAAGCTCCAAGTGAAGACGCACAAGGTGCACAACATCTGACCAATGACCGCACACGGCTCCAAAAGGCGGTTGTTCCGCGTTCACCTGCCCATTATTATTTGGTTTCTTCGTCGTCTAGCTCGCCCTCGGCATCACTTATACACGCGCTGCTTCTGCAGGCATCGGCGCGCGTGCCCGCCCTGCGCCGCCGTCGCTATGCGACGCCCCCAGTGGCCTTGCGCCTGGCGATTCCATTTTGCCCGCCGCTCGCAGCGCCGCCTAGCCGGCGGCCCTCGTCGTCGCATCCCGCGCGCGAAAGAGGCGGCGCAAGTGTGAAAGCCGCGCGCCCGCGGACTCGCGCCCCGCGCGTCATCGCCATCAGCGGGGGCGCCCGACGGGCGGTCGCGCCCGCGTGCATTCCGCCAGCGACTGCGAGAAGGAGAATAAAACATCGCGCCCAGCACAATCGCCATCGCAACCGCCAGCAAACCGCCAGCCCAGCCGCCAGCATGACCGCCCGCGTGACAGCTGGCGCGACCGTCAGCGCAGCCGCCGGCGAAACCGCTAGCGCAGCCGCCAGCGCAACCGCCAGCGCATGCGCTCGCGCAAGGGCCAGCGCAACCGCAGGCGCAACCGCCAGCGCAACGGCCAGCGCAACCGTCAGAGCAACGCCCAGCGGCCCAGCGCAGCCGCCAGCGCAACCGCCAGTGCGACCGCCAGTGCAACCGCCAGCACGACCACCAGCGCAACCGCCAGCGCGCCCGCCGACGCAACCACTAGCGCAATGACCAGCGCACCCGTCAGCGCAATCGCCGGCGCAACCGCCAGCACAACCGCCAGTGCCATCGCCAGCGCATCGCTAGCGCAACCTCCATCGCCCCCCCCCCCGCCCAGGCCCAGCCGCCAGCGCAATCGCTGACGCGACCGCCGGCGCGACCGCGACCGCGACCGCGACCGCGAACTCAACCGTCGGCCTATAGCCCGAGGAAGAACCCATACCGCTTTCAACGCAGAGCGAGCATAAACAGGAAGCGCGGCAGGGGCGCGCCGACACGGGCGCGGCGGCTCCGGGCGGACGCGCCCGCTGGGGCCACCGGTGGCCGATCTACCAGAAGGAGATGAACCACAAGACGGAGTTGATCTCCCAAACGGAGATGAACCACAAGACGGAGCTGTTCTACCAAACGGAGTTGAATCACAAGACGGAGCTGATCTACCAGCGCCGAACCACCGGAAGACGCTGAACCACCAGAAGACGCTGAACCACCTGAGGACGCTGCGCGTGCCGAGGTTGCTGTTCCGCGTGAAGGCTCTGAGCTTACAGGCCCGTTGGCGCTCGTTGTGACTGCTGGCTCGCTCGCCTGCAGCGCTCTTTGTCTGCGCCACAGCCGTGAGAGACCGTCCATTGCGGTGCCGGGGTGCCTGTCATCCCTGCGAATGAAGAGCCGGAAGAGCCGGCCCCCGAGCAGGTCGGGAGCCTTGTGACGGGGGTCAATGCAGACGGGGGTCAGCCAGGGCACCGGATCTTGCAGGATCCTGCGAAGATCCTTCTGGCTGACCCGGGTTAGCGAGCCGCCGGTGGCCGCGAGGCGGCCGCGCCTATTGGTGACCCGGGTTTGCGAAGACCTGCGTTCAGTTTTTTTTTCCTGCACTGCAGTTTTTTGGTTTCCTGCTGACCCAGGTTTGGTTAAACCCGGGTCAAGAGATCCCCGAGCAGGCTCCTGAGCCTCAGGGGTACGTGAGTGACTCTTTCATCTTTGCCTCTTCCACTCCCATTTCGGTGGTGTCGAGCGCGAGGCCGGCAGGGCCCGCGCGAGCTTGGACTCAAGCTGTGCACGCTGCGCGTGCGGAGCTCATTCATTCGGCATCCCAGATTCCGTGCCCGGCTTGCGGTCAGCTTGGGCCCAGGAACAGTTCGGGTTCGAACGTTCACATGCTGCATGCCAAGTGTTTTTGCGGAGTTCGCGTGGCATGTCGCAGCCTGACCCCGAGCGGCTGAGATTACGATCCGCTACCAGTGTAGGCTGAGCAACGATTTGGCAGCACTCTTTCTGTGTTGTATCTGCACTATCCATAACTCTCCTCTTATCCAGTAAAGAAGGATGAGAGTGAATTCCGTGTGTCCCTGGAACGAGGAGTTGCTTACTCTAGAGAATGTGTGTGTGTGCTGCATCCGTTGCCACGCGGCTCGAACTGTTCTCCAGGCGCCTTGAGTCCGGCTGACAAAGTATCCATGCATACTACCACGCAGTGGGTTGGTTGTTGATAGAGATATTGTTCGTGCTACGACAGTATCAGAGAGAAACCTTACAGGTTTCACTCCAGAGATCGGTTTCGAAGGGCTTGGGAACTGAACTGACATGAACTGATTTTCCTCATCCTCCCCCTGCCTCTCATCCCCCCATCCCTTTCCCTTATGACTAGTTATTCTTGTCGCACCCCCAGACGTGTCGACAGGGCTTGCCGGGCATTTTGCCGGTTATTGTTTCCGCAATGATGATTCCGAAGCTTACACATTGAAGCAGCTTCACGGATGGACGGCGGGTCTCTTTCAACATGCGGTTGTCGCCCACCGCCGCGCGCACGTGTCCTCACAGTTTGCAGCAGCCTTGCTGGTGGAGGGCGGGACACTTGCAGAATGCGAGTTTCGCCCAAGCGACGCGCACATTAGTTTTCAAAGGCCTGCAGCAGGTTCATGGGTGGAGGGCGGGCGATATTTCAACTGTTGTTCTCGCCTGAGAGCCGCGCGCGGTCGTTTTAAATTTTTGCAGCAGTTTCCAAGAGGGACGGGGGCTCTTTTCAAAACTGCGGTTCCCGCGTTATCGTGGCGACAATTCGTCACAAAAGTTTGCAACATGCCCAATGTTTCGTATGGTTGAAGTCCTAGAAATGGTGTTCCTGCACGGCTTCGGAATCGCACGATGCGACGATCATTTCGATCTGATTCGTTGAAAAAGTCCCCAAGAAGATTCTTTGACATGGTTTAGGATTGTCTGGGCGCATCAATCACGCTGATTCGCGGCAGCGAATTCAGATACATTGTGCCGGTACGATTGAGGTTTCTCAGACGGTGGAGGGTTTATTGCAATATCGTTGATGCGTCTTTGGTTTACAGTGGTCCTCCTCCTCCTCCTCCTGTTCTCCTCTCTCTCCCTCAGCCCTTTTCGCCGTTCCTTCCCCCCCGTTCCTGTTCCTGCCTTTTTTGGGGGCTGTGCGATTCGGCAACGCGGGGACTACTCTGCTCTCTTTTTCCGAGCTTTCTGGACCTCTACCGCCGTCGCCCCCCCGAGCTCGCAGCCGCCCGCTCTCGGTCAAGACGCCGTAATACATCCAATATGGAAGTTGGGGAGACAGGATGGTAGCGGAGGGAAGGGGAGGGGAGAGGAGGAGAAGGTAAGTGAAGAAATTCTGCCCGTAAAGCATCGATTCGTTTTCACGCAAGGTGCGTTGGAGTCGTTATTTCTGTCCCAGCGCCGTCTTTTTGGATGTTCTGCTTCCCTCCCAAACGCCCTATTTGTCGCTTCCCTCCGCTCTCTTCCGGTCCTCTCTCTTGATGCTGCGCGGTAATGTTCGAGCTGTTGGATATTGTAGCTGACGCCGACGACGTTCGTACGCCCGGTGACCTCTGAAGCGTACGGCTGCGGCAGGGCAGGCTGCAGCGTTCTCCAGGCGTAGCCGAGACCCAGGCAGACGAAACAGGAAAACGGGAGGAGGGGGAGCCCATGGAATGATGGCGAGGGGGGAGACCAGTCGATAGAGGAGGAAGGAGTGGAGGAGTATGAGTAGGATGAGGAGGAGCAGGAGGAGGAGGAGGAGGAGACGGAGGATATGGAATAGGAGGAGGAGGAGGAGGAGGACAAGAAAAAGGATGAGGAGTAGTAGGAGGAGGAGGAGGAGGAGGGGGAAAAGGAAGAGGAGGAGGAGGAGGATCAGGAAAAGGAAGAGGAGGAGGAAAAGGAGGAGGAAGAGGAATTGGAGGAGCCGCGACCAGGTCCTCGGCATCCTTGTCCTCTACATTTTCTCGTCTTCCGTTTTTGGCATTGCCCCCCGCTCAGTGGCATGGCGAACGGCCTGCTCGGGCCGAGCCGCTCTGCCGCCCGCCTCCTAGCCTGCCTCTGGCCCCTCTCCAGCCCCTGCTTCTGCCTCCTTTCCGCCGCCGCCGCCACGTCTGCTCCACATCCACCGCTCCCGACCCGGCTCCAGCTCTTGCCCCGTCTCTTCCTCCTCCTCCTCCTCCTCTTCCTCCTCCTCCTCCTCCTCCTATCTTTTCCTCCTCGAGATCACAGCTGGATTCATCTGGGATATCCCAAAGTACCATGAGTCTTTCCGTCTGGATGGGCTCCGTGCACGAGCCGAGTATTGGGGAGTCCCGCGGGTGTTCACCAAGACCCTTTACAACCTCTGGAGGAGCCCCAGGATACTTCGTCTCGGGGCTCATTGCAGTCCACTTCCCCTCTTTGCGGTGTCTGGGCCCCGAACGGGTGATCTATTGCGAAGGCCTAACGGCCGGTGCCGCCGACCCTGAAGACGACGAAGATGAAAACGAGCGGGGGGAGGGGGTAGGAGGCGGAGGAGGAGGAGGAGGACCATGAGTCTTTCCGTCTGGATTGGCTCCGTGCACGAGCCGAGTATTGGGGAGTCCCGCGGGTGCTCACCAAGACCCTGTACAACCTCTGGAGGAGCCCCAGGATACTTCGTCTCGGGGCTCATCGCAGTCCACTTCCCCTCTTTGCGGTGTCTGGGCCCCGAACGGGTGATCTATTCAACGATGTGTTCGTTAAGGTATACGCGATGTTCGAGTTTGATCAGTTCTGTATACGAAATCCGTCGGTCACGATTTCGGGGAGGGAGGAGGTGGTACTACCTACACTATGTGCTGCTGCCGCTGACCTCAAGCGCATTTTGGATGCGCGCCTTGACGTCACCGTGGCCGACGACAAGGCCACCGCTTCCGCGACCTCGCAGAAGGTCGCCAGCCGTTTAGCCAAGAAGCCTGCCATCTTCTGCCCCTCTTTGGCATGCAGTTCGGTCGTTTCCCTGGGCAGAGCTCTAGCACCAGGGCAGCACCGTGAATGTAAGCGAGGTTTGAGCAAGCGCAAGGATGGTGTATAACTTGGCGAAGCGGCATGCTTCCTACGATACATCAGTTGAAGGGGACAGCTCATTAGCCCCCAGCTCTGCTTCTGTGCGTTCCGTCGCCTCTGGGCTCAAGACCGGCCAGTCAAAGCGACTGCAAAGCAAGCTGCAAAGCCTTTCAGCAAATACATCTTCTCACCTACATCTTATATCCCATTTACTCCACATCTTGATTATCATTATCATTGTTCTTCTTCTTTGGAGCGCCCGCTGGCGCCCGAACTCTGCTAGCGGAGCGGGAATTGAAAAGTTCCTGCTCCGTTGCCAGGCTGGGCATTGAAGAGTGCCTCGCCCGTCAACGCGAAAATCCACGGCCAGTACCCCTTGAGGGCCCTATATGTATATGGGCAAGAAGAAACGTCACCACAGTCATTCAGCAGAGAAGACGTGGGAACGAGCACAGAGAAGACTCGAAGTCGAGTACGAGCGGGCCCATCGGACGTGCAGCTGTCCTCCTTGGGAACCTCAATCGGAAGCCTGCCGCCGGCAGGTAACACTGCCTACGGGGCTCGTGTTCAAAGAAAAACCTGAGCCTTCACCTTCACCAGCAAGGTTTGCGTCACCAGATTGGAGAAGGTCACCGGCTCCACCGCCACACGCTTCTTTCTCCACCGACAGGAACGATGGCGACTTCAAGCTCACACAACGTGAAGAGCAGGCAACCACACCTGTACGGGGCCCAGCCGTTGCACTACCGACAAGGGACAGCCGTAGCCAGCGCGGAGTCTCCTCCGTGTTGGTCTCCGGAACTGGAAGCGGACCCAACCTACCCGTACAGCGTGGTAGAATGGAGCAAAGACGTAAGGAAGTGGCAAGCAACCACGAAATTCGCAGCCGAACGACAAGGGCCACTCCTCTCGCTGGCGCTGGGAACAGCCGCGCGCACGGTAGCAGACGAGATCCCCATCCACGTGCTACAGCACGGAGCCGAAGTGGACATAGGGGGCGGCACCGGCGTGCGTAGGCATGCGGGCGTCGACATCTTGTTGTCGATCCTGCACTCCAAGTTCCCGCCAGATGCCGAGGCTAGCACGTTGCGGACAGGCCTGGATATTTTTTACTTTCACACCGACTCGTGATGAAGATATCAGGTCAATGTCTCTTCGCTTCGACATGCTCCTAGACAGGGCAAACAACGCCACCGAACTCGGGATCAGCGTCCCGTTCCGCACGTGGATGTCGTTGAGTTTGCCGCGGCTCCCTGCCCGGAAGTGGGCTGACATCCTGAAGGAAAACGGCAGGAGACTCCCACGGACGGAGGCGGAGTACGTCGAGGTGAAGCAGCGTCTCCTCCGGGACCGTGCCATAGAGGACAACGTCAACGTCTTTCACGGTAGGTCCCACCAGCCGGGCGCCCACGCTGGCCTGTATTTCTCGGACGAGCTGGAGCCCGTGCCGTTGTGCTTGGCCATCGCCAACGACTGCAACAGGCAGGCCGGCGGCAGCGGCAGCGCGCCAACGGCGGCGCCGCCCCGCGGAGACCAAGACGTCTACTACAACGCGGGGCAGGCAGCAAGCGACGACGACACTGCCAGCGAGGGCGGGTGGAGCACAGACACAGAGTGGTGAGACAGAGAAGCGTCGGAGGACCCCTGGCCCCAGGAGCGCGTAGACGCCGAACGGCAGGCGGCCCTGGCTGATCCGCACTATTTGACGTCAGTTTGGTGGGGGGCCAGGAAGGCAGAGCGGCGCTGCCGCGCCGCAGCCGGCCGCTTCGGACCCAAGCACCAGGTGCGCACGAGGCGGTTCGGGGCCATGAGGTGCACGAAGCGCGGGCCTCCGAGGCGCGCGGGCGGCAAGCCACGGAAGGGCTTCTTCATCCGCGACGCGTTTGTGTCGCTGGAGCATGTCCCTGACGAGGACATCAAAGTGTTCTTCGAGGGCAGGGGCCGGTTCAACAAGAACCGCGTGAAGAAGGGGCCTCGCAAGGCCGCGAGGTGCTTCAGGCGCGGCGAGACCGGGCGCCTGACGGGGGAGTGCCGCAGCCGCGAGAACCTCTGCTTCAACTGCAAGAAGCCGGGCCACGTCGCGAAGGATTGCCCACAGCGGACGCACTACCTCAACGACCAGGCAGACGACTCCCAGGATGCCGCCGAGAAGTTGTGGGGAGACGTCATGCCGCTAGGCGCGGAGAGCTTGTACATGGTCAAGGAGGCGCAGGAGAAGGTAGAGGGGGGGCAGGAGGTTGCAGCCCGAGCGCCCGCATGTGTACCAGGAGGAGGAGGAGTAGACTGAGCAACAGCATGTGCAACCACAGAGTGTCTACAACCATTCGGAAGCCAGGATCAACGATATGGAGGACGGGCTCCTAGTTGATACCGGCGCTCGCCGGAACCTCACAGGCATGAACATCATCGACCGTCAGAGCAAGGCTGGGCACCATCACGGATTCAAGACAACTTGGAGCATCTTGGATCAGCCACGGAAGATGAGCGGAGTAGGAAAAGGAGCTCAGACAGTACGACGTGCAGCCACTGTTCACGGAGTCATTGGGGAAGGCGACTTCATCTCCTACTCCGCCCCGGTCTTGGAGGACGAGGGCGCCGACGCCCCAGCTCTTTACGGCTTGGGCCCCATGGCCGAGCGGAACACTTACGTAGGCACGAGAACCGGAAAACTGCACATGATCCCACCAGGCACTGATGACCAGATCATCTGGCCAGACGGCACGAAAACCATAGAATGCCAGAAGTCACGATCAGGACATTGGATGATACCGATCTCCATGTGGCACAAACTCAAAGAGGGCAGCAACGCGGTCGAGGCATGTCCGACGAACGTCGGGGTGTCTCAACAATCCTGACAAACACGGCCGCTGGATGCAGAGGGTGGCCGATATCCAGCCGACGCAAACAACAGGCCACCCACCTCGCAGCGAATAGACATGTTGGCCGCGCGACCGCCCGCAGCAGCCCCTACGAACCCACGGCAAATTGAAAAGCTTGCCGACGAAGCACCAGTGCGAAGCAACGCGCCAAACCTATTCCTGGTTGGGGAAAGGCTGGCAACGATAAAAGTGACCATGGCGAAATACGACCTCTTTCCATCGAGAGCGTGCTCCATGCTTCAATTCCAACGGAAACATACGTGTCCAGACGCTTGCGCAATGCTTCAGGCCATTCATTTGGACCGACCACAGCTCCTTTGGATTCAGTGGTCATGCAAAATTCAAGAGCCAGGGCGACGACCACAGGTACGCACCGCGCTGCAGTTCTTTTCGGGAATGGTTGAACAACAATTGCGTTACGGGGGGGGCGTTATCCTGGAAGCTAAGGCGTGCGACGTTCCTGTCCGGGGCGAGATTTTCGCCGGAGCGAAGCGCTTAGGAGCATTATTGGGACCATCTACTCGAATGCATTGGTGCGCCTTGGGAATCACGGGGGGATCAGACAACAATGCGCTAGTGCGTGGTGAACACCTCGCCATGTCAGACAAACCATGGCCGCCAGCACCATGTGAATGTGGCAGACAAAGCTCAACGTATGTAGCAAACGGAGGAACAGCATACGAGCAATTTGTGGAAAAGGTCTTACAGCATTACAACATTATCGACTCCAGTCAACTCAAGCCAATCAACGCAGAGTGGCACCACGTGCAACGCCAACTCAAAAAGAAAGCAGGAGCGAGAGACTACGTCCAGCACCACCTACAGCACCAGCCAACCGCCAACGACAGCCACGACGGATCGGAAATTGAAAAGTTTCCGCTTCGCCGGGGCGGAGCACCACCACCGACTAAGAAAGTCACCTTCCGCGGCGCACAAGTTCACACTTTCCACGTGGACCAGTCGACGTCCGCAGCTGACCTTGACCCAGTGTTCCCATCTTCATCATCGTCAGCATCACCATCACCTCAGGACCTTGCCTCCTTTCCCACCGACTCCCACGAGCGAGCTAATGCGAAAAA